CATGTTGTGCAACGCGACCAGTAGAAGCATGAACATCGATCGAACATTTGTAGGCAGGTGGGCGCGGTGGGCGTCCATCTGCTATTATTGCAGCTCGATAGGGCGCTATAAAGGTAACTTCCTTGGAAGAGGTGCCACGCAGCGCCTGCTCAGGAGCGTCTTCTGTTCTGCTAGGCGTAATAATCCTGCACTTCTTGCGGATTATCGTGGCACCTGATTCAAGGGAAAATTTGGCAGAACAGCTAGCGATAATTGCTGGAGTAAGGGTGCTCGCATAATACAGGTACCTCCGGAAACTACGGGAAACAGGTATGATGTATTGAACGGGCAGCTGACAAAAAGATATGCATCAATGGATTATTCAATTTCAACGACAGTAACAGCGATCCCTATCTCTCCTTACACTCGCGAACAAGTGCAGTGGGTCTGTACTTTATCGCCATCACGTCCGACCGTAGCCATGCAGGAAATTTCCCAAAGGAGAACTTAAAAGCTTTGGAAGGATAAAGCCATCTGATGAGAGCCTTGCAGGACTCGGGCAATAAGAAGGGGCGAAACTCAGAGACATTGCGCAAAAAACTTTTCTTCATGCAATTGAGACCCTGGTGGCGACGAAGGCGATGATTCTCCGCAGTGTCCTTTCATCGGCCGGAGCACTCAGGAGAATTGAACGCCTGGAGTAGAGGCCGGAAAACATGTAGTCTGAGGAAGCACTAAAGGAAATGCCGACGACAGTGGAGAACCTGAAGCTCAGCCAAGCATTGCATACGTACTACTCCAACGGTAATGTCTTTCAAGAAACTTCCAGTGTCATGCCACAGACGCCGGTGGACGCTGGTAGGCGCTAGCAGACGCTGCCGTTCGCTAGACGGATATCTATACTTCTTAATCGCTGAAGCTGACGCGCTCTCGAAACACTGATGGTCGGTGGTGGCCGCTGTCGCAAAGTATGAACGAGCCTGAAATCTGGCGTTTAACATTTTCCAAGCAGCCAGAGAAGTGTCGTTTGCGTAAACTGTCACTTCCGGATATGGCTTAGTTCATACATAACTTCTAGAAGTGAAAGTCAAGAGCTGTTGGAAACCAGAAAACTTCGGGCTTTTACCTTTCTCAAAACTCCCGCTACAGTTTCAGTTTCACCTGGAATGTATCCAAAACAGCAAGCATTCTAACCGAGTTTGATCATCCACATCACTACTTCATTAGCTTCGCTTGTAACGCCTATCCCGGAGCAGATCGGCGAAGAAGGAGGCATTCTGCACTTTTGCTACTTCACGTCAACGTGTCGATCGATCTGGACAGCCTGTTCTCAAGTTGACAGATCTACCAAGATCTTGAGCTTCATCCAGCTCCACAAAAATTCACGAGAGTGAGACTTGCGAGTTGGCGCTAGTGAAGGAAGGGAAGTGCAGAATGCCCCCGTCGCCGAACTGCGCCCCTATCCCATTTCCTCGTTGTCGCTTTGCTGACTAGTGATTCCTCCGAATAAGGACCCTCTTGCTTTCCAGCGACTAAAAACGGCCCCTGTTGAGGGTTCATCAAGGGGTGCTTGACCTAAGGCCCACATGGAGGAAGTTTCAGCGGAAAATTCCTTGGTATTGCAGAATAACTGAGCATTTGTTGACTGTTCCAATGCAATCTTCGTCATATACAAGCTGAAGCCGATCTGCACAGCTCCCAGGTGAGAGCGCCGGGCTTCCTTGTCTCTGTAGCAGCTAATGAGTTTGGTTTAGTGCTTCCGTCTTTTTGACTCGGCAATCTTTTTCCGATTCTTTCTGAGACCCTTACCTTGATTTTTATCTCCGACCCTTTCCTACTTCGATTTCGTGTGCTAGTAATTCCAGCTAATGTCTTGTCAGCTAGAATAATCGCTTCCTTTCTCAGCTAAGCCAAAAAGCTGGTTTTTAAGGCTACCTTTACACTTTTATGACTTCCCTCTGCGCACGACTGCACAGCAGCTGGCAATTTCCGACGTTTTACTCACCATAACCTGGTAAAGCAGTAGTGGTTCTGGCTTGTGTACTTACATGTACCAGGCCCAAACGTTAAACAAGCTTTGTTACACGAATTACGGGCCTTCAACGGCTCTGGGAATCGGAATGAAACCATGGAGATGGGAAAGAAATGGTTCACAAGAACTTGGAACCATGCAACTTGAAAGCGGTGTCGGCGGCAGCAACAAGAAAGACTCACGATGAATTACTACTAGTACAGTAACCGGCACAATAGGTATAGTTCCCCAAGGGTGAGTAACTAATAATTGCCTATGTTGTACCAAATGTGACACTGCCCGGCTTATTCGCTGCGTTGACTTTTCCCCTTGCTGGGTAAGGAAGGTTCTCGCGTGCTCTGGGTGTGGGAAGAGAAAGTGGGCCAAAACGACGGCCTGAGTTAAAGATGATATGGACACAGTAGTCGGGGGTTCCTATAGGGATGGAATGAGCCTATCTGTGGCGTTTCCACCAAGGGTTATTTTCACTGGTTATTTGAATATCAATCAAAAGTAATTGACCAGACTGCAAAATTTCTTACGCTGCAGTGCAATGTTAGGAGGTTGTACGCTAAGAGTAGTACGCCGCAGATCACTTCATATAAGTACAAATAAAGAAAGATGGAAATACCAAGTGGCATATATTAGTAAATAGCAGCTCCGGCCAATGAAAATTTTGAATAGTGTTTTGGTGTAAAGAAATATAGTAAAAGAAGTAGGTAGTTGCAAGGAGCAGCTGCTGAGTTGCCAACACGGCTGTTAATTAGGATAGGTAAAAAAAAAAACTCAACAGGCTCCACCACAAGAGGAGGGTCAACCGGCAGTCCGGCTTCTTCTCTGATGTATGCCGTTCCTTATCCATGTGTGATTCTTTCTTTCTAATTACTTCATTATATTTTCCTTAGCTCTTTTTGCTTTTCTACAGTAAGAAAATAAAAAGAAGGCATCACGTTTATTCCTAATCGGTTCATTCATCAGAGGCCACAGGGGTTACAATGATTGGTACCAATTTTTTGCGAGCACAACCACTTCCGCTTACCATTCCTTTTTCCTGCCATAACTTTGCTCGACCGGGGAGAAAACGACAGACGCAGGTTCATCTATCAATTGCAGAAAAATGAGACATGGCAACGTCTGGGGATCTGGTGGAACATGCAGGGGGGAGGGGCAAAAAAGTCACTTTCCTTCCTTGACTTTCGAGGCGCTATAAGTTACACTTTATTAAATTCTGATCGGACATTTCTACCACCATATTAAAGAGCATATTAAATACTATCATGATACCACAGCCTTCTGGAGGAGCGCCATCGAGAGATTCTGCCACGCGACCGTGATTCGGTACCTGCTTCAGCGAGATAGTTGATTTCTCCGCCACTGTAGACCACCCTGTTGAGCTCCGCCCGAACCCGGTAATTGAGAGGATTCAGGTCAGGTGACACACTTAGATATTCCATCTTCTTCAGGTACTCAACGCCCTTCCATTCCAAGTAGGCGAGAGTTTTTCCAACGCCCTTCGATTCCATGTGGTGGCACCCGAACCTGTAGCAGTACAGTTTCCAAGAAGGTACGGGCGACGACATGTGGGAGGATATTCTTCTCGAGTTGCTCGATGTAACCGCCAGCGCTCACCTTCAGTCCGGGGTCCACGAAGAAAATATCGGTCTTTCCATTCCAGGTACGTCCGGTCCATACCAGCGCCTTGGCGACTGCGGTGAAGATGATGTCCTAGACCGTGGCGACGTTGTCGGAGCTGCTCGATGTTGGAGGTCATCCAGATCGAGAGTACTGGTCTCCAGGTAGCTATCCATGGGTGACTCCATACTAGAAGTTTCGCAGCTGTTTGGAGGTGACATTCCGAAGGTCTTCTCCAGTCAGGCTGCGACTGGAGATGACTTCATATTTTGGTGTACATGAAGGTGATGGGCGAGAGCCAGCTCCTGCTTATCTTGGGTATCTTCCGCCCTGGTACTCGTATCCACGTCCTCTGTCTGGGCTGCGAAAACTTTGCTGATATGTGACTCGGTCGAAGTGACTTTTTTTGCCCCTCCCTGTGCAGGCAGGGAAAGTAACCCAACTCTTTGGCCCAAGACGATCCCCTTAACAATAAAAACGCGTTCTCTCCCAGTTGCTGGTCATGGGTAACTGCCTTCATTTCCCTAGCTTCCGCTGCCACTACTTGAAAAACCTCCAACCAATTTCTGTGAAAGCGAGGAAAAATGCGCTCAGGAAAATACTTCATCTGAAGACTTTACTCCAGAAGAAAATGAATTCTGCAACCGAGCCATAGTGTGGCTGGATGGAACCCCGTCCAGTCATGGTACACTATCGCTTTTGTGATATGGCTGTGTCAGTAGGATCTCCCGCTTCCCCCTTCCAATGTGCCCATCTGGCGCGACTCCTTTTCCTGTGCTAAATAGTGTTTTCCTAAGCTCAACATCACAGCAGAAAAAAATTTCTCGCGGTTCGGAAAAGTTGAGAACTCGTCAAAACGAAACAAGTAACCACTTTATTCCCAACGACCAAGTGCGATTCCTCTGAGGGCCCTTTCCCAGTGATGCTTTACCCTGCCTCCACCTACTCACTGCGCAGCTTCACCTTCTGAGGAAGTACTGCTACCGAAAAATGTTTATTACGGTATCTTACTCGTGATTTGAACAAATGCTTTGTACATGAGACTCTATTCACCTGGCTTATAGACTGTAGAGATCATAAAAAGGCTCAAACTATCTCATGAAAGCAACCTATAAGGTGAATGTACATGGGGAGAGTGGCTATAGCCTGGTAGGGGACTGGTTGAGGTAGTGAAAAATGATCTATTAACTAAGTTGAGAGTCACATATTCCGTACACGTTTGATAAGGTAAAATTTAAGATGACATATGAGGATAAATGAAAATGAGCTGTCGGGTACATACATACATGTGGCTACTTGCATACTATTGTGATTAAAACAGTAAAAGACACTTTCATGAGAAGTAATACGATTCTGATCAAGACCAGTTCTCATAACATTAAAACATCAAATGAGTTTTACTTTTACCAGCGGAAATTTTGATTTGACCGCTTTTTTGAACGCCAAGTTTTCGCCGAACAATGTACCTGAAGCCATCAATATGAATTGAAAACGAAAAAAAAACGAAAGCACGAAAACAGTCGTTTTAGATAAAAATTAATCGCTAGACAACATGACAGTACTCCAAACCTTAGAGCTGGAGTGGGCGTGACCGCTTACTATACTGGAAAGGGCGGCTGCAGCGCTTTGTAGACACATGATTACTACTGTCTGAAAACGGGATATTACCATTCGAGACGATGGTTATCAAGTCTCTGTCCAGCGCAAGAAAAGGCAATAGATGTATTGAATCAAAATATCCCACGAAAGAAGCGTTCTACGCGTTCAAGTGGTGCATCCACGCAGTCACGCCTCCTACAGCTCTGGGATATGAAGGGTAATTTTGAACGAAAGGAGCAGTTTTCAATAAGCTTGGAATCCCCGTGCTATACACTAAAACGTAGCGATTGGGTACCTGTGTACCAACTAACGTTGTAAGTATGAGCGCACCCACCACCTTTTGAAGAGGTGTGAACGTCCACCAAAAGAAGTTGAGCAGGCGCATAGAGCTACAGGAAGGGGAAAGTAGCTCTCAAGCAAAGCTATAAGTGGCATGTTCAGTGGCGAAGGGCGCGCACAAAGCGATTCAAGATGGTCTGACCGCCTTTAGACCGAATCACAAGCGTCCCTCCTCCCTTCCTTGGCTGCCAAAGCAAATAAGCATTGCCTGTCATCTAGCGCTCGCACAATGGGGAAGGAATGCGACTCTGCCGTGATCGCTGCTGGCATGATGACAGGTAACTCGTCCACCACCCCCAAGCGAGTCTCGGAAAACATGCCTCATTTCGCAGGTCTTAATGTGTCTTTGAGTTTCCTTCATTTCCACTCAGCACTTTCCCTACATTTTGGTCCGCTAACCAAATCAGCGTACTCTCTTCCTTTAATTGGAACGAGGTTTAAGAGCGAAATCTTTGAGTGGCCCACGCAAGTAATGTTCCAAGCCAAACACTTGTTGAATTTGAAGTGAACCACCTACAGAGATATTCGAAAGCAAACCAGCAATCTCGGTCCAGTGGAGCAGTAACTTTGATCGCCACAGCAAACTATCACAGTCCTACTCAGAATCAGAGTAAACGCGTCAGAGGTGGTTTTGTACAGTCCTGAGCAACTATTGCGGAGTGCAATTTTTCCTCTATTTGAATTTCGAAGCATAAAATCACTTACCACTCGATTATGAGTGCCAGAACCACTAACGTGAAGCATATGAGGAAGGCATGCCGTGCCCATCTAAAGTTTGTTTTGTTTAAAAACGTTGAAGAAAGCATATTACGACTTGAGGGACTCACCGTGGAACTGAATGATCTCGTGGTTCACCCTTCAATTCATGTAGCTCTCTAAGAGCATGGCCAATATCATCGACAAGATCTTCCACAGCTTTCTGCAGTGGCCATCCTGCAATTGTGCCATGATGAACAGTCAGTCAAAGAAAACAACGACTTTTTTCGGAATCAAAAAATAATAAGGGGTTCAGAAAAGGGCGAGTAACGTATAAGACTTGAATAATTGAAGGAATCGAGCCTGGCTCATATGAAACTTCACCGCTCTGAACTCATAACTTTCTGCTGTATCTGAACGCAAAGGGAGACACTGTGACCATGACAATTTGGCTTAGCAGATGCTGTAGTACAGGAAATTCTAGTAACGACGACGCGAAAAAGAAACTGGCTTAGCGTTCCCATGCCAGTTGTTTTGAAGCTCCGCAGCATCCCTTACAGGGCACAGCATTCGATGGGGATTTTGGTCGAGCCTGTACGACCCCCCCCCCTTTTTGGGGGTTCGGTACGACCCCCCCCTTTTTACTGTTTGACGTTACATACTTCCTGAAATTAGATATAAACAATTAGATATAAAAAATAGATATAAACAGTCCTACCTAAGTTGAGTTGATGTGCAAGCGTTTGTAATCAAAAACAGGATGAGTAGCATAAACACAGCATAAATGCGAGTTAAATGAGACTATGACTAAAACGAAAAAACAAAAAGCGGCATAACAGAAAAAAAACAAAAAAGAAATGCGCTAAAAATGCATTAACCCGAGATGTGGAGTACGGTAGCAGAAATGCGTATGTAATTGCAGCCGTGACTGGAGATTATTCGTCAATTTTAGCACTGGAGCGCGAACTTTCAGCAAAGTGGGGTGTCTTTGAAGGACCATAACTTCCTCAAAAGCGGACCTGTGGGGAAGAGGAGACCGTATTCGTGTAGAGGAAGGTTTGCACTTCCTAAAAGTACTGAAACGTTTATGAAGGTCGCAAAAATCACAGAGAAATCTGCCATGGATTCGTTGGGGAGTGATTTCAACTGAACAGGTTTGAATCAATATATTTTTTTGTAACTCAACATTTCACAAATCTGAGAACGGTTTCGAGTGTTTGAAGATTTTCTCTTTCTAAAAACCTCTTGAGCTGTTTCTGAAGTTCTCGGGATTCATGAGATCTCGCTATGGGGATTTCTTGGGGAACACTCCCAGCTGCGCGAAAAACCCGTTTCCTGTGTACCGTTTCAAGTGAGCGTGTTCGAATAACCAGGAATGCATGAAAAACGTATCCTGTGGTGGAGCAGGAGCAGAATATGGTTCGTTTAGCGCCGATCACGCTGACTTTGGATGCGCCGCGCACTGAGGTCCGCGCAGAGGTGAAGGGATGGTGCAATTTGTGCGTAATGTCTGTCCACGCGAGCAAATGTGTCTATAGGATTCAGGGAGATCCATGGCGAACCTGTGCACTTGTTTACAGTGTTTTCCCTTGCGATGATGGATGGGAGCGTGTCTGTGTCGACGCCGCCAGATGTGTGCTCCGCCAATTGCTGTCTCCGATAAAGGAGACCAACTGCTGGAAAACGTCTGGTACGAACGATATGGTAGTCCTGTCGTTTGTTGAAAAAAGAGGTTGGCTCAGCGCCAAGCGTAATCGCGGACACGCCCCATCATCCGCAACGAACCAGAGTATGAGTTGTACTGTTCAGTCATCAACGGACTTACGAGATAATGTCGACTTATTATAATAATAATTTCAGTTATTTCGGATTAATTGATGGTTGAAAGTTTTCTACTATTTCTTTTACATATCCGAGTTCTCTACAAAGCGAGTTCCGCTACTCTGGACTCAGCACACTGAGACCTTTGCGCTGCTCGATACTGGCTACCGCCCTCATTACGACCCCCCCTCTCCTGGCGGCCAAATACGACCCCCCCCTATGGGGATTCCTCAACCAATGATGTGCCCTGATCCCTTAACGAGTCAGTTGGGTCCCTACGCGAATGCCGCGCACGTGGTGCCATTTGCCGCGCTCACATCGCCGCTCTCGCCGCAATTCAGGTGCGCTGGTACGTCTGGATTGCGGCGACAGACGGTGCAGCTGATGCACTGATAGTTAGTGATTATTAGATTTACCACACGCCGAGCTCATGGAGCCGAAGGCGAAGGAGAAGCCAGAGAGGACGCCAAAGCAGAAGCAGCAGGTTTTCAGGATTTTCATCAGGACCTCACAGTCGTTAACGAGGTCGTCGAGGAACGTTGTCTGACGACACGTCTCGCTCAAGACGGCGCAGGCCATCTCCAAGACGATCGAGCAGGCGCGGAAGCTTACGAAGTTCCAGCAGAAAATCCGCCGTGGTCGTGACAAGCGTCCAGAATCGCCTGGCGGCTCGACGAAGAACAAAAGACGTCGATGAAGCTGCCGTGCTACAAAGGGAGCGGGTGGCCGAAAATGACGAGGTGAGAGTCGCGCGCTTGCAGGACAAGAAAGTGAAGAAGCTGCCTCGCAGGAGCAGCCGAGGAGCCGTTTATCCTTCAAGGCAAGTGGATTGATTAATCTGCAGGACGTGTGAGATGAATACGCCAAGCAGGATAGAATTCTGCTCCCCTGAGCAGGAGCTGCGTGGCTACCTTTACAGGGAATGCACTCTTATAGCGCCCTATCAAGCTGCAACATACCGACCCGGACGCCCATCGTGCCCGTTCGCCCACAAATGGACGACCGCACCTAATGCTGTTAACGCTTCTACTGAGCTCAGTATGAAGCGAGGGATTGATATGAAGCGGCTGCGGTGCTGCATGGATATATGAGTACATACATGCAGCCGTATCTACCGTAGCGGTTACTTGGCACGATGCCAACGGGAAACTCGTCCAAAATTGCTCTCTGTGTCATGTAGGACGAACGCTTTTTTGCATTAATTTTGGTTCTCCACCGTTTCACTTCGTTCATTCGTCGTTTTCCCGCTACAAAGCGCCATATTATGCTATCATTTAGACCGAGTACCAGATTACCGCGCCATATGCCTTTAATCCATAAGCACAAATCAGTGTTCAAAGGGCACAATAAACCAACTTGTAGGGATGACTATCGGAGATCAGAGCCATATCGCTCCTGAGTGGATAACAAATGCATGGTGTATCCTATAGAAATGAGAAACTGTTGCTTTCTGACCCTTATGTATTAGGTTGGCTAATAAGTAATGGCCGTTTTTTTCAATTGAAAAATTTGTTCGAAAAGTGAAACGTTTTGCAAGCAAGTTATATATCATCTGATAGGAAACTTCTCGTAGTATAAGAATATCAAAAAGCTTTGGTTGAGGATATAGTTTTTGTGAATTTTTTAGTCGTTGAAGTTGGAAGTGAAGTCGGCGAAAATTAGCATCTTCGACAACTGCCTCTATTTACGTCTACTCGAAGTGCTAAAATCGCTTAAGCTGCTCCATACATTCGGAAAAGGTTGAGGTAGAAGTCTCAGCAAGGGAATCTCAATAGGACGCTTTGGAACTAATTTCAAGAATTTCAAAGTTGGCAACCTTCACCTTGCCAATATTGGGCAGGCTCACGTCTGTTCCACCTGAAATTTCATGCTAATAGTTGAAATAATTGAACTTGAATTTGATATTCTAATACTACGAGAAGTTTGCTATTAAACGATATTAAGCTTGCTTGCAAAACATTTTACTTTTGGAACAAATTTTTCGATTGAAAAAACGGCCATTACTTATTAGCCAGCCCACTGCTAGTGGGCTGGCTAATAACTGCTAGTGGGCTGGCTAATAAGTAATGGCCGTTTTTTCAATTGAAAAATTTGTTTCAAAAGTGAAAAGTTTTGCAAGCAAGCTTAATATCGTTTAATAGCAAACTTCTCGTAGTATATGTAGAATATCAAATTTCAATATTCGAGAGTTATTTCAACTATTAGCATGAAATTTCTTAATAGAGAGGCAGTTGTCGAAGATGCTAATTTTCGCCGACTTCACTTCCAACTTCAACGACTAAAAAATTCACAAAAACTATATCCTCAACCAAAGCTTTTTTGATATTCTTATACTACGAGAAGTTTCCTATCAGATGATATATAACTTGCTTGCAAAACGTTTCACTTTTCGAACAAATTTTTCAATTGAAAAAAACGGCCATTACTTATTAGCCAACCTAATACTTCGTTGAGAATTCCAATTGCACCCTTCTCAAGGAGATGTCCCTTTATTCACAAGTATTTTAAGCTGCATTTTCTCGCTTATATGTTCTAAAATCATGTTTCGGTCTGCTCCAATTCAATAATGGTTTTGGTCCCCTATGTTTACTTTCCCCCGAGACCACTTCAAAGAGCGTGCAGAGTTCTTACGAACAAAGGTGGACTAAAGTGAGGATGGCGAAAATTGCGCTATTGTTAAATTCTGCTTCAATTCCGCCAATGACAACGAAAGCCGCCCGCCGCTGCAACCCAGCAACCAAACGTCATTTATTGATGATCCTCTCATGAATGCAATAGGAAGCATTGCTAAGCATACTAGTTCCGTAGTTTTCCATGGGAATAAAAAATTAATAAAAAATTCTACGAGGCTCTTACCGATCTCTTGTTTGGCCAGAATATCAGTAAAAGTTGTACTTTACAGCTTTTCAAAGGCAGTTAATTCAGTTGTAGCTTTTCCTAGTTTTTTCCTTTTTCGGAGCTCTGCACTACTGGCTCCACCATCAATAGGACCTGCTCACTACTTTTGTATGACTCCTTTCGAGAAACCAGCGCTGATTTTGACCACTCACATTTCTTTTCACTTGCACGAATTTTTCCTCCGCCGTTGTTTTGGTAAAAGTTCAGGAATGCATCAACAGAAAGAACTACATAAAGCTCCCCTGGGTACGGTTGAAAGACATTCCGCGATTGTCTCAGAAGTAAATTGCTTAGTATAAGGTCACCCCATTCAAGAATGTGGTAGGTTTTACACGTACAAAACGAAGAGGAAAACAGATAAAAAAGAAACTTTTTGGCTTTACCTATAGTAGAACAATTCTTGATCAACGACCCGCTCTAAGTGCCCGAAAGCCCATTCTTTCATCACGCGCCCACTACTTGTCCGGCACAGGTCAAATTTGAGCAGCGCACTTTCCTCTTATGACGCCTGATTTGAAAATCCGGCGCTGATTTTCACCACTCGAG